GATGATGCTTGGAAATAAGAACACCTACTTCTGGTGGGCATGCAAAGCATGCTGGGTGGTCGTTAGCCCCTCTATTACCCTGGTGAGTTGTTTTAATCTTGCGTGTTTTGTTTGTCCACTCTAGATTTACATAATACTTTGGATTATGTGTACTGTCTAGTCTGTACATGGTGTGACATGTTTATGAGTTATGTACCGTATGTGAACGTATGCTAATGTTTAGCATAGCCATATAGTAACAGTACAGTGGTTATATTGAATTTAGTTCCATGTTTTCTGGAGCATAAACCTGTGTGGATGACAATAAACGGTGATCAATTCTTCTGTGTTCTAGGCTATTCTGATCTGGTCTCTGGTAGACTATGTTCCACCCACATATGGATGGGTCCACTACCCAGACTGGGGCTTGTCTCTGGGTTGGTGCATGGTTGCTTTTGACCTTGTGTGGATCCCGATTGTTGCTGCCTATAAGTTATCTACAGCCGAGGGCAGTCTCTGGAAGGTGAGTTGTTGATGTTGTTGTTTTTTTTTTCTTTTTCTCCAGCATAAAACAGCCTTTCTAAGCTGTTAGAACATGTTGTTTTAATTGATAAACAAACAAGTAAATAATTATACTAGATGTCAATTAATTAATTTAATGTTTGTCCTTGATGTAATGTTTTTAACTTCTAATAGATCCATGTTTTTCACACCTGTTTTTATTTATGCCTAATCCAAATAATGGAATTAATAATGTCAAGAAAATATAAAAAAAGTACAACTCAACACCAAAACACTTTAAAACTTTAAAAACACTAGTTCCCTAAACATTTTCTGGCAAGTACAACTCAACACCAAAACACTTTAAGATGGTATTTGAAGCTTTTTCAGTGTGTGTCATTCAGGGAAGGACACATTTGCAGACACATCTTTTTTTTCACTAGTTCCCTAAACATTTTCTGGCCTCAAACTTTTCCCATGAGAGAACGCCTGACTGTTGCCAACAATACTGTGGAGTATTATACAGTTGCTTCAACAGACACATTTGAATGATCACACAAGACAAGTGCATCACAAGACAAAACCAAAATAGTTGCCTTTAAAGTAAAGGCCTTGCGGATCTACTTCACACACCTTTCGCAATGTAATGTGTGTGTTTGGTAAACATTGTTTTAGACATCTAATTTAACACCGACAACTGTGGGTCTTATGTGGATACATTAAATATACCTGTACAGTACGTGAATGACACTGTGTATAAATATAAGGGATGGTGCTTGCTAGAGCTAAATGTGTGCATATGTTTTATCATATAGTATTCAATTTTAAACCATACTTTTTACAGCGAATAAAGATAATGAGCTCACCCTCTGAGGACTGGCACCCTTACCTGGACGTCAACCGAGGAGAACGCTACCAAACAGAAACCTGGAGTCAACAAATTAAGATGTCTAATAACAATAAGGATAAGGATGTAGATACCATTCCATAAAATGATAAAGTATCTAAATATAAATATTTAACTCCAGTAATGTTTATTTTCTGTGTCATTAATAGAGATCCTTCATGTGTAGCCAAACAAGCGTCAGTGCCCTCGTAGTTTAAATCTCTCCCTTTTTTTAGAAATACAAGCTGGAATTTGTAGCTGAAGGCAGAATTTTGTTCTACTTATATCTATCTACTTATTTTAGGATTATTTCTTCTCCACCCAAGAACATTATTAATATTATATTATTATTTTATCACTCTGAATAGTGTCTGTCTGAATAAAGAAAAACACTTTAGAAAACATCTTTCTCATATGTTTTATGTTTTTAATGCATGAGCTTTTAATGGTGGAGCAAATGTAATATGTATTTTATGGTGTCACTGAAGTCACACACACACACTGACAGAGGAGGGAAGAAAAAGAGAAAAACAGAATCCATCTTAATAGCACAATAATAATAAAATTAACAATAAAAATATTCGTAATAATTTTGAATGAGTACTTTTGTTACCGATTATATCGACAGTGACACTGTCTTATTACAACACAACAGATTTTGCAATTTTAGATGTGGTTTCAGTTTTCAAGGGCTTAAAAACAGTGCCAAATATTTACTTTAAATAAAGGTAATGTACTGTCTGAAAGTACATGTATCACTCTGATGTGTTCAACTTGCAGTACATGTCAAACATGTAGTACTTGAAGTTCTCTAGTTTAACATATGGTATCGTATATAGTAGGAAGTATATATATATATATGAAGTATTTTGTATTTAATCTGTATGAATATATACTGTTATACTGTAATTTGTACTCTAACAGGCACCTAATTTAAAATAAGGAAGTGGAAGTGCTCCTGTAGCCAAAATCTGTAACATGTGTTCTCTGAAAAACAGTTTTTAACACCTGACTCATATTTCTGATCCTGTTCTGAGTAAATGCAACACAATATAATGACACTGTTTTCTTTCTTTCTGATCTTAAAACTAATACTCGATACTGTAATATGTGTTGTTCCCCATACTTTCAGCCCACAGTATATATATTACAATATATTTTAGAGTTATAGCTTGTGGCCTGTACCCAAACATAATGTATTGTCACTTCTGTGTCAATGTTTTTCTTTGCTCCTGAAAAACTTTGGCTGAAAGACAGAAACTTGTATTTCAAGATATGCTTATTTAGTCAGTTAGTTGCGTGTCGGAGAAGTTGATTTCACTGTTTTTCCAAAGTCTTCCTAGATGAAATTAGCAAACCAGCATCTTTAAAAACTATGGTTCAATATGAACATTTTGGGGAGTCCAAGGAGTCTGGTACTAATCAGGTATTTTGTTTTATTTTATTTTTTCTCAGTATTGTCTGGTACTAATCAGGTATTTTATTTTATTTTATTTTTTCTCAGTATATCTTTTCTTTTCAAAATTGTGCACCAACGAATTGATATTGTGACTGACATGACGACAAATGTGTCAAGACAAGTAGTCTAAATTACTTAGCTTGTCGTTGCTTTGTTATCCTTTATTTTAAGTGTAAACAATAATGCCATTGTACATTTTAACCTAATTTTGCAATTTCTTTTAATGTTTATGTATAATTATATTCACTCTTGGAAGGATGATTATCTCTTGTTCTTTTGCTTTGAACATGCTTCAGAATGAATTAGAAACAGCACGCACTCCATCGCTTGTGTTACTGGTTTTATTATATGTATGCTTGATATGCATTTAGCCAATACATACAATGAATTAAACATCACATTTATTAAATATTGTCACTAAATATCAAATTAACTAACCAACAAATTCATTTGCAGTGGTTTTATACCACCCTTTCTTCTCTTTTGCACTAGGAGTTAATTTAATCATTTTTCATTCCGTCTTTAGGACTCACACATGTCACATAGTGATGAGAACGCAGAGCGTGGAAACTGGACCAGCAAGTATGATTATCTGTTATCCTTAGTCGGCTATGCTGTTGGTTTGGGAAATATCTGGAGATTTCCATATTTGTCCTATAAGAATGGAGGAGGTATTTATCTGATATGTTCAAGGAAGATGTTTGAGGCTCTGTGTTAATGTGATGAATGTTTTTAAACCCACCTTTTACTTCCTGTGTGCAGGTGCCTTTATCATTCCATATTTGCTATCACTGATTCTATGTGCAATACCAGTCATCTTTCTGGAAACTGCTATGGGGCAATTCTGCAGCCAAGGTCCAGTTAACATGTGGAGAGCAGTACCTTTACTACAGGGTGAGCCTGAAATTATCACTACATCTTGCTCTGTTCAACATCCATTCAACTCTTCAACTGTTTATTATTATTATTATTATTATTATTATTATTATTATTATTATTATTATTATTATTATTATTATTATTATTATTATTATTATTATTATTATTATTATTATTATTATTATTATTATTATTATTATTATTATTATTATTATTATTATTATTATTATTATTATTATTATTATTATTATTATTATTATTATTATTATTATTATTATTATTATTATTATTATTATTATTATTATTATTATTATTATTATTATTATTATTATTATTATTATTATTATTATTATTATTATTATTCCCCAGAACATTTAGTTCTGATTATGTCAACAGACTAACATCACAATCTTTTGTGAGCGATGTCAGATAACACGGGGAATAATTAGGGTAACCTAAGTTGTATTTTACACTTTAAAAAAATAAATAAATAGACACACAAACATAACAGTATAGTAAAGTCATTTTGTTGATGGTCAGTATTTTTTTAAATTTAATAATTTGACCCATTTGAATATTAATTCAAATGTATCATTAAAGGAAATGTTTAATCTGCTCCTTCTTTCCTCAGGTGTTGGGCTTGCCATAGTTGTCTTAAATACAGTGGTGGCCCTTTATTATAATGCCCTCGTTGCTTATGCCCTTTATTACATGTTTGCCTCCATGCAATCTCCTCTGCCGTGGTCCAGCTGCCTCAGCTGGGCTGACAGCAACTGCAGAAACTCTCCTTTAGGTACAGTATATATACATGTGTGTGTGTGTTGTTTTGTTATCTAGCATGGTACAACGAATGTTCTGGGAAAGGAGAAACAACTGGTCATAAACATGGGGTAACCATTGATAAAGAGCAAAATATTTTGTTGGGGGGTTACTTAAAAAACGCTTTAATTTGCTATTGTACTGTAGCAGGTTTGGTTATGAGATAGACAGCATATTTGGCTGAATGTACCTGGTTAAGTAGAACTGCTGCAAATGTCCACAACTGTGGTTGTTCGTGAGTGCAGTAATGTAATGCTAGGTTTAATTTTGCAGTGTATCTTGTTTCCTGTCTGGCGTGTCTTTTATGCCTCAGGTCGTTTATACAGATATTAAATACAGACACAGTTGTTATACTAAAATTACTGAACCATAAAGAGCTATTTTAATATACATGTGGCCGCACTGGGCGCTGTTTGCGTTTTGGTTGTGTGTCCGGGGACCTGAGTGTGCTTTTTGCCTGCCTAGTCAATCCCCACTGCGTCACTTCCTGTTTTTAGCATGGCGTCAACTTCCAAATAAGGAAGACGCCACTGCCGTTATATGCTAGCGGCTAATTCGTGTTTACACTATGCCACCTTTAACAAACTTCTGTCCGATTCCTCGCGCCCTGTTTGTGTTTCGACAAACGTCCTTGTGTTACATTGTGGCCGATATGAGCGGTAATTTCCATTTAGGTTTGGCGAGCACCGGCGGTGATGGCTAGTGGGATGAAGTTTCCGAAGTGTCGTGGCTGTACAGACTGTGACTGTCTGCTACTGTTTTGCCTGATGGTATTTGTTGTGTCTATATTAACTTTGGACGGCCGACCCAGACTGTTTTACAAATACACATGACTAAACTGTATTTTAAACCGGCTCTGCCCCCCCACCCCCGCCTCCCTTTATCTTTTGTGGCGCCAGTGTTATGTACTTTATCATGTATATATTGTCCTGCAGTTAGTTCTTTTGCAGTGTGTGTTAACAGATTGTTCAAGTATCAGGCCTCTGGTTGGCTTGGTCTGGTTCTTGTTTTCCCTACTTTTGTCACTTCTAACACCGAACCAGCTTCAACCAGGGTTTTGGGACACTTCATCCTGTGTGTTAACGTATTTTTAAAAAGTTATTGTGGTAACAAGTGAATAAAGGCTGACTTCCTGGGTTTTTCTTTTTTTATAGTTGATAAATAACGCAAATCAGTGATCTTTGTGACTATTTACTTGAAAAATGCGTCTCTCTTTAAATCTTTGCGTTGATCTGTGGTAGTGTTGTTGTTTTAGTAGCAGTAGTAGTCATCAGAAGGAGACCCAGGCTTAGGCAGAAGTTTGATGGCAGATTTCTTTTCTTTCTTTGCTTTATCAACATCCTGGAACGGTGCTACTAAAGCCAACATTGCTCTAGCCAAATTTTCTATTTCAGACTTTTTGTAAAAAATAAACAGGATTGTGAAACTGTTGATATTGAGTACAGGATTACACATTTGTATAGTGTTGTTTGTTTTCATCCACATGCTGCCTGAAAAAATAATGGAATTTATTTTTTCTAGTGTTTTGTAACATAAGTGGCAATTTAGTGGCCAACTGGACTCATGACAACATCACCTGTCCTTCATCTAATGTGATCAAAGTTCCAATGCCGAGTCCGAGTGAACAGTACTGGAAGTAAGATTTGTGTTTTCATAAAAAATAAGAAGAAAGTCATATATTGTATAATTATGTTATGATACAATTATTTGAATACAATCCTCATTTTGTTTTGGGTTTTTTTTTTTTCTACCACAACAGTCGTGTTGTTCTACAAAGATCCAGTAGTCTAGATGAAACTGGACATGTGGTCTGGCACCTGGCCCTGTGTCTGCTGCTGAGCTGCATGATTATTGCAGCCGTGCTCATCAAAGGCATCAAGTCATCAGGAAAAGTAAGTAACGCTGCTGTGGCAATGAAAGAAATGTTACAATCAGTTTTCTCTCCCACATTGCTGTTCATATTGAATGATTAATTTCCATTGATTGAGCTCTTTTACTTCTGTAATCATGAGCACAAGAGAATTCAATCAATCCAACGCAGTCTTAACCATCTTACTATCTTGCAGTTTAACTCAAAGCGAAATGGGGCAAAGTGCTTAACTTTGTTGGTTACAAATATAATTTTCAAGATATAAACTTGAGAAAAAACTTGAGCCTCCATTATATTTCTGAGATTAAACACAAAGCCACACCTTTTTTTAACAACAATGTTTTTACTATGTCCAAGTAAAGGTTAAAATTTAATAAATGTACGATGTAATATGGAATTTATGCAATCTTTTGATGACTTTTTATGAATTAGTTTAAGAAAGTAAGTGTTACGTTGCATTAGTAATAGTATTTTTGGGCAGTTTTAAAGGTTGTGTCTTACTTAATTTTCTTTGGTAGGCTTTGTTGTGATCTGCAGGTCTATATAAACATTACTTACTTCTTATAATTTTTATTTTATCTCGCAGAGAACTCTTATTAGGTTCTGCTGTTTCTTGCATCTACTCAAAAATTGATTGTGTATCTTTTTTTATATATATATTTTCCTCTGCAGGCTGTGTATTTCACCTCTACATTCCCCTATGTGTTGCTTTTAATTCTGATTATCAGAAGTGCAATGTTAGAAGGATCAGGTGATGGGATAGCATACTACATTGGTGCAAAGTCCAATCTCACAAAACTAACTGAAGCACAGGTATGCATACAAAACCATGATTTACATAAAGTCGTGACAGCAAATTACCAGGCATCAAATAAGACCTATGTCTTATTCTAGGTGTGGGGGGATGCTGTAACACAGACATTTTTCTCCTTATCCATTGGCTGTGGTGGAATTGTGACGCTTGCATCTTATAACAATTTTCACAACAACATAATTAAAGACTCATGTTTCTGTGGCTTTGTTAACCACGGTAAGAAATCATAATGTTAATTATTTTTTATTCTGATTACCTAAACATGTTCTATTAATCTGTGTAAAACGGAGCATGTTGTCATTGTTTTCAAATCCCTCCAGGAACTAGTATCTTTGCAGGCTTTGCCATCTTTGGATTGTTGGGTCATATGGCTCATTTGTATGGACAACCTATTGAAGCTGTGGTGGAGGAAGGTGAAAATCCTTTAATACCAAAAAACACTGTTTTGTAATTTTCATTTTTAAAATGGTGTAACATTTTTTTTTCTCATTAGGATTTGCCATGGCATTTATTGTTTATCCAGCTGGTCTGACTAAACTTCCTGGATCCTCTTTTTTCTCATTTCTCTTCTTTTTAATGCTTTCATTAATTGGCCTGGACACTCAGTTTATAAACATCGGTAAGACCATGTCCGTGTACGTTATTATTATACGTCTAATCATGCTTTTTCATAAATGTTTTCATGATGTCTTTGATAAAACTAATATAAAACTATTAAAATGTTAATGCTCACTTTCTTTCTATGATCTGGACTTGAACAAAGCAAGGATTTCTTAACTAAAATGCTGCAGGCTAAAATGTGTTTCTTAATCCAAAGATCATTGTAATCTTTGGGTTATATTCCAGTCAAAATGTATTTTCCAAAGGTAAAACATATTCTTTTAAAATCACATTTTATAAAAATAATTTCTTTGCATTGAAGTGTCGTTCCGAAATAATTTAGAGAGTGATGCTTCAACAGCTTATGCTGGTGTTTAAACCTGATTTGGAACCAAGTCTGCTTCCTTAACCACCATATGTACGACACCTTATATATATATATGTATATATCAACTGTTTTAACTACCCTAACGTTTTATTTCTCCTGTTAGAGGTGCTCGTCACCATTCTGTGTGATTCCTACCCCAATGTTCTTAAAAGCAGACGTGGCTTTGTGACATTTGGAATTTGTTCATTACTTTTCCTCCTGGGTCTACCGTGTGTAACACAGGTACAATTGGTCCTTGAGAAGTAACATTATACATCACTATAATCTCATTTTGACCTGATCTGTGTGTGTGTGTCTGTCTGTCTGTCTGTCTGTGTGTGGTACAGGCAGGAATATATTGGGTACATCTATTGGACAAGTTTGCTGGAAGCTGGTTGATTCTTATTATGGTTTTGAGTGAGCTCATTGGCTTCTGTTACATATATGGTGAATATTACAGACTCTCAAGTTCTTGTTTTGTTTCATTGATTTGTATGAAACATGTGTTTAGAAAAAATATAATCTTTTTTTAAACAAAAATAACAGCTCTCAACACTTCTGCAAAGTGTTTACGTGAGAATTAATTATTTGTAGAATCGTTTTTTTTTAAGAAGAACTTCATTTTAAATGTCAGTTTGGAAAAAAAACAGATGGAATTAGATCTAATGAATTGCAGAACTCCCATTATTGAACAGCTGTTCTATCCAAGTTTGCTTAAGAATTTGATGTTTGCTTCATTATGGAATTCTTCGTGAAGTTTAAAAATGCCAATAAAATAAGTTGTTAATGTAATATATTATATTCTGTTGTATAAGAACTACATCCATGCAAATTCTCATCCTGCTTTACAGGTGTAAAGAATTTGATTGCAGACATTGAGATGATGATTGGAAAAAAGAGCTCGACCTACTGGTTGATATGGAAATGCAGTTGGTTGATCATCACTCCTGTCATCGCTTTTGTGAGATTTCTTTTTCTTCATTTTGTAAAAACAAAAAATGATGTTGCAGTGCATTACTTTAAAATCAGTATCTTTATTTAGCGGTACTGATATACAGTGATAGTAAGTGTAACCATGTTATACTGTGTTACCTGGATGCGCCGATAACGATACAGGATTACTTTACTAGAATACTCTTACAATTATTGGTAGTTAAGCCCTGAAATGTATCAAGATTGGCAAAGGGGTCAAGATCCAGCATCCCTAGCTTGGTGTCCTCACAGTCGTTTGCCAACGCAGTGCACTTCACCTAATTTCCCACAGAGCTGTAGCAGGTATTCAACACTGATTTCATCGGGACTTCTTGAGATTCAGCTCTGAGATCTTCTTTCTTCTGTTGTCTTTCCTTATTTTGTTGACTAGGCGGTTCTGTTATGGTCTCTGATATCAGTCACCAGGCCTGTGTATGGAGAAGTCCTCTACCCTGACTGGGGCACAGCTATGGGTTGGTGTGTTGTTGCGTTTGTCCTGATCCCGATCCCCGGTGCCATTGTGTATAAAGTCTTCAAAGGAAAGGGAAGTTTCTGGAAGGTGAGTTTTTATTTTCTCTCACAACATGCAGCATTTTCAGTGAATGCCATTCATATCCAGTGCATTCATGTCAATGCATTTCTGGATGATTTCTAACTTCTACAGCAAGTGAAGGCCTTGACTTCTCCCTCCGAGGACTGGCATCCTTACTTGGACATTCATTGCGTGGATCGCTATTCAAAGGAAATAGGTACAAAGCAAACAGCTTTCTGACACTAAAAGATGAGCACATGGTCAGTCACCAATGTTATACCACCAGTGGGAACGGAACCTGCTCTCACTGAGGCAGAAGTAGTACAT